TCTTGGCGCCTAATTTCGGTTGCTAAAAATTAACTTCGCCAAACCCCACCCCCCATCCCCCATTCTACACTTAAACACCCAGGGTAGGTTTAAAAGAATGTTGCTTACACAAATGAATTTAGTTTTGACTGGAATAAATCAAACAATATGACTTATGAATCAAGTAAATTGCTTTTTAAATAATCCGTCAAAATAAAGTAAACATTACATGTAACATGTTGCTTAATTGACAGTCAACTATACAGAGAGTGTAATTAGTAATTTTACCAACTTATTTAACTTATCTTATATTAAAAACAAATCATGTACTTTGTGACGGGCTCACACGTTTCATCATTAGCATCTCCTTTTGGGTTCTTTGGGGTCAGATTAAATGGCAATTCTTTTCCAACCACTCCGAGAAGTAAAACGTGAATGAATGATGCAAACTAGGAAGCTTTTAAATAACAGAAGTTTAGAGTAAGCGAGGTGGCATTTGAGGAGTGTTATGATAGTCCGTGTTTCAAGTGTGAAAAGTACTTTGAGAAGTTAAGTGACAGTCAAGAGAAGTTACATTGAAATTGAGCTTCGGCGATTTAGTTATTGATAGTGGTCCGAGTTACGTTATTTCGGTATTATATATTGTATGTTTAGCCACCGTAGATTCTCTCACATATCATATTATTATCTAATCTGTTATTGGTTTGAGTTAAGATTTTAATAAAATAATATTAAGATTATGGCAGCTTCTAGTTCTTCATTTATTCCTACACCTCCAGCTCCCGTTAATAATCTAGAAGGGCACCCGAAAGGGGTGCCCTTACAACTTTTAGTTTTACAAACAAGAGATAATTAGTTAAGTAAAATAACAACAAAAAATCGAGTACTCATTTTAATATGTGTTCCTCCGCGTGTAACGTGGTAGATACGAAATATAGTTCGGAAGATTTAAGAGAATTAAATTTGTTCTTGAACCCCAATTTTCAAAATATGTAGCTAGTATATTAAAAGAGTTTCTGTATTCCTGAATATGTTTTTTAATTTGTCCGAGAGCCTTAATTAACGTTTTGGGAGGTTTTAAATACATGTAACGAATCAAATTCAATCAAAGCATGCCGTCAAATCTGATACAAACATACTCATTTCAAAATGAGTATGTCTACGCGCTCATTTTTGAGTGTCTTTTTTCTCCGTGCATTTTCTGAAAAAGTAGACAATTGTTTATATTATGGTAAGAAATTGAATAGGCGTTGAATAGGCGTTTTCTTTCGGGCGTCTGGACTGTAACCAGTCCTCAATCCCATATCGTGAGAGTCTATGATGCTGGGCATGGCAAAAGTGGTGTTTTCCATTCTGCTCAGTGGCATGATGGCGATTGGTCGAGCGATGGAATCCGGGAGGCGTGGCTATGGTTCTTCATCTGGGTGGAAGGTAAGAAATTTCTGACGCACCTACCTTATATGAAGAATACTTTTTTGTTTGTTTTACTTCTTTTAACCACAAGCCTATTCGCTTTTAGGGTTGCATCTTAATCTTTTAGTCACTAAATCTGGAACAAGTTTGCCAAATCTGGAAATGGCATATGGAATTAGTCGCCAATTTGGAAATCATTATTCCTGATAATCCTAATCAAGAAAATGGAACAAAATTATGAAATTATTGTATTGTCATCGGTCCTTGACAAGTGTACAAAATTTCGAATTAATCTGATCTTTTAAAGTGGGTTAAAATCGAGTTCAGAGATTCCGTTACATACAAGTGAAACTTGTAAAAGAGTGTTAAAAATAAAACTTATAAAAGTGTGTTAGTGAAATAAAAGTCTTAATCACACGACTTTTTGGAAACTTGGATCCGTATCTAGGCACACACCTTTAGATTTGTTTCTCTATTTTTATATTTCTCAATTTTGTTTAAAGTGTATTGGTTCAACATTTTTCAATTTCATTATTTGATTTATGCATAAGTGGTTTGCATGATTTTTTATGAATAAAATTTCAAATAAAATATTTATAAAAATATATTTTATTATTACAATATCTGAATAAATAAAGTTGTTACGAACATTATCTTCATTCTTCAACTAATATGATATTTAACACTTTATAATTTTTTTTATATAGGTAGATGTCCAACATTGTTTCTAGGTTGCTTTAACATATATAAAGAGTGTTTTTTTTCCAGGTATAGAAGTTTAAATTGGCATTACTTTCCAAGATGGCGACCGATTTAACAGCTGTCAAGTGATTTATTCTCAGTTTGGTTTGGCAGTTCATCAAAACGATCATCAAGCAAGGCGTAGATTCGTCGAATGGGCCCAAAACGAGATTGCCGTTGTTCCCGATTTTCATAAGCGAGTTTTGTTTAGCGATGAAGCGCACTTCTGGTTGAATGGCTACGTCAACAAACAAAACTGCCGCATTTGGAGAGAAGCTAATCCACAAGTGTATGTCGAAACACCGTTACATCCAGAAAAACTGACTGTTTGGTGCGCTTTATGGGCTGGTGGAATCATTGGTCCGTACTTCTTCAAAAACGATGAAGGCCACAACGTTACAGTCAATGGTGATCGGTATAAAGCCATGATTACTAACTTTTTCATTCCTGAATTGAACAATCATGATGTCCAGGAGCTGTGATTCCAACAAGACGGCGCAACATGTCACACAACTCGTGCTACAATCGATTTATTGAAAGGCACGTTTGGTGACCGCCTAATTTCACGTTTTGGACCTGTGAATTAGCCTCCAAGATCTTGTGATTTAACACCGCTAGACTATTTTCTGTGGGGCTATGTAAAGTCATTGGTCTATGCGGATAAGCGACAAACGCTTGACCATTTGGAAGACAACATTCGCCGTGTTATTGCCGATATACGGCCACAAATGTTGGAAAAAGTCATCGAAAATTAGACGTCCAGATTGGACTACATCCGAGCCAGGCGTGGCAATCATATGCCAGAAATCATATTTAAAATGTAATGCCACAAGATTATCTTTCGAATAAAAAAATGCATGTCAATCGAATAATACATCGTTGTTTTATTGCAATTTAAAATTCTATACCTCTAAAAAAAACACCCTTTATATAGTTTAAAGTTGTGGACACTTTTTAAAGCTGTTATGTTTTTTAAGTTTGTGTGCTTATAAAAAATGTTACTTTGCAAAAAATGCAGAGTATTTTTTATCATTTTAAAGAGAATTTAATACTGAATTCATTACAAAAAACAAAATTTAAGAATTTGCAAGGCAAAGAAAGTTATGCTGCAATAATTATCAATATGCATTAGATACTGATAATAGCAATGAGTTATCAATGCTTAGTGGGGTAGCCATTATTTTTAATTACAGCTTCACATCGATGTTTCATTGAGCTAAAGAAAGTTTTAAACTCGTCATTTGTTAAAACATTATGCCATGAAACAATTATATCCTCAATTAGTTCCTTTTTATTTCATGGGTACCTAATTCAGATAAAAGTTTTCAAACGGTGCCACAAGTTTTCGATAGGATTAAGGTCGGGACTGTTTGATGGCCAGGACAACAACTCAATGATTTTAGAACGATACATGTCATTCAATTACTTTACTGTGTTTTAAGGAGCAGAATATTGCTGGAAAAAAAATAAAAGAAGCATTGTTGGTAAATAGATCCTTGATGGAAATGGAAAAGTTTGGGTTCTAGAATGTCATCAATATATTTTATGACATTCAGTGTCGCCCTGCTCCCCCGACGATATGAAGAAGACCGATACCAACTGCTCATATGCATGACCAAATCTTAAAACTATGTGAGTACTTCACAGTTGCCTAGATGCAGTCAGGATGTAGCAATTCTGATATTCTACATCTTACATATGTTTTGTCTATCACTACCGAATAACGATATTTTAGTTTCGCCCCTCCATATAACTTATGACCAATAATCGTTTGTCCAATTAATGTATTCCATTGTCTACTATGGTCCCTTTTAGCGCTGCTGTAAATTGAGGTACGGCTTTTTTAGAGGAATTCTGCTTTTTAGTTTTACATCTGTTAAACTTCTTCTGATTGTTTTTGAATTGACAGAAACATCAGCATCTCTCAGATCACTTCTGATGGCTGTCAATGACATTCTTTTATCTTGGAAACATAGTATTTTTGATCTTCTGTCATCAAGAGAATTGTGGTGCACTTTTTTCGGCCTTTTCTTGCTTTTTAAAATTAAATTTGTTTCCTGACATCTTAAACAAAACTTTCAGTCTCCAGATTTAGTCTCTGAACTACCCACCTGTCTCGTAATATTACCATAGGAAATACCACTTTCTCGTCACACATGTATCCAATCTACTCTTTTATTTAATGCCTTTGCGTTTTGACTAAATATCATTGTTGTCCTGGCCAGGAAACACAGTCCTGACCTCAATCTTATCAAACACTTGTGACACTGTTTGAAAACTCCTGTCCGAATGATGTGCCCATGAATTAAAAATAATCTAATTGTGGATATAATTATTTGCAGGCATCATTTAAAAACGGATGAAGCTCTTAAAACTAGTTTTAGCTCAATGAAACATTGATGTGAAGCTGTAACTAAAAATAATGGCTACTCCACTAAGAACTGATAACTCATTGCTATTATCAGTATCTAATGTTTTTCAGTTGCTATTGCAGCATAACTTCCTTTGTGTTGCAAATATTTGATTTCTTTTTGTATTGAATTTAGTATTAAATTCTCTTTCAAATGATACAAAATACTTTGCATTCTGTGCAACGAAATATTTTTATAAGCATACAAACTTAAAAAACATAACAATTTTAAAAAGTGCCCATAATTTTGGCCACCACTGTATAAATCGTTAATAAAATACTTTTTATTCATCCACTCTAGTTCAAATACATTTTTTTAAACTTGTAGTGGATGACACTTGATGTGAATATAGTTTTTTAAAATATTAATTCATTAATTCTAATTAATTAATTAATAAATAGTACAAACAGAAATAATGTTCCAACGCCCTATATAAAAATGAAGCACGCTCGTTATGTCTCTGTAGCGCAATGAATAGCGCATTGGACTTCTAATTTAAAGGCCGTGGATTCGGATCCTACCTGGGATTGCCTAATTTCTGAGAATGTGATTTGTGAATGAATAAGTAGAGTAACAAACAAAAGGAATAGTCCAACGTCATATATATAGAAAGGAAAACCGTTTTCTATTTTGTCACTTAATATTGTAATTTTGTCATATGTAAATACATATTTATATTAATTGTGATTATTTAAAAAAAAGTAACTAAAATAAATTTTTTTCTTTTTTGACCTAAGTAAAAATTGATTTTTTCAAAGGTCCACTCAATAGAACAATACGTTTCATAATTTTAGGCTACAGTCATTTACATTTTAAGATAACGTCCCGTTTTTCCATGTGTGCAGTGTGCCAATATGGGGACCTGAGCCGTAAACTACCCTTTTACTGCATAATAATCTTTGCTTATATCAGGGGTGGAGACCCCGCGGCACGTGTGTCACAGTGTGACACGGCGAAGTTTTAACAGTGACACGCAATTATTTATTAAAAAGTTTAAAAAACTGAAAATATAACAGTAAAAGAGCATTTTTTTACGATTTTATTGAAAGGCGGTTATCTCAAACAAAAATAAATAAAACCCACGAAATTTATTTTATATACACTTAATAGAATTACAATAGAAAATTATCATGTAGAGAATACTCCATTGTGTGCGCGGGTTTTCCAAAGGGAGACCTCGCCAGATTATGGTATTTGAGGGAGTTTGTTTTAAAATATCTGGAAGAAAAGGCAACGAACTATGCCCTATGAGTGCTTGTTACTCAGGAATGAAGATTGTGGCTTTGGAATTTATCTTTCCTACCCATATTATGGGACATCTACATAACTTAAATTTAAGATTTTACACAAGGAAAATATTGATTTTTACCCCAGTTGGTCACCCATATATATTTTTGTGTGAATAGACCTTTGCTTGCCACCCAGCCAGTATGGTAGATATGACGCTTGGCTTGTAACCCCGAGATGGGTTCTCTTTTTCAGAACACTTATAACCCCTTGCACCACAAAGTAGCACACGAGGGATCGCATAGAAGTAAGCGTGAAGCACCCATCACAAAGAAGAGAGGAATTACAATGCAAACATCCTTGTTTTACCCGGGATTCGAACCCAAACCCTACGGCACCATAGTCAGCTTCCCTAACCACTATACCGGATGGGTGACAACCGAGTGGATTTGGGTTTGAATCCCGAGAAACACATGGTTGCACCTTCTTCGGGAAAAGAGGTCGTACTTTTGCCAGTAATGGATTCCCATCTCGAATGGAAAGCAGCGCATCCCTTCTGTTATATATGCTCGGTTCATCATTTGTAATAAATGTCTATATCAGGGATAGCCATCCCGCGGCACGTGTGCCACAGAGTGTGGCACGTCAGAGTTGTAACAGTGGCACACGAAGACTTATTGAAAAATTTGAAAACATGATTAAAAATAACATTTTTTTTTAACAATTTTATTAAAATGTAGTTGTCTCACATAAAAAATCCCAAACTTTATTTTAAACGCAATTAATTAATTACATTTGAAAATTATCATTTAAAGAACACTCCTTATTTGTTGTGTGCGCTGGCTTTCCAAAGGAAGTGAGTGCATTAGCGAAATTTTCGAATTTGAGGGAGCGTGTTTTAAAATATCTGAAAGAAAACAAGGAACTGCCCGGTGCGTGCTTGCTACTCAAAAAAGAAGACAAGCTGTGGGATTTGGTTTTCTTTACCGATATTATGGAGCATTTAAATAATTCACATTTAAGCGTACAGAGGAAGGATTATATACCAACCCTAGTTAATCATATATCTTTTGTAAACAAACTTTTGCACCTTTATTTCTATTTTGAAGAAAAAAACAGGTCGTATATATTGTTAACTACCTACCAAAGTTAACAATGCTCCGAGCTATAATAGATTTTTAAATTTAATATTAATTTCGCAGAATTCATTCAGTGCTAGGTTGGATGATTAAAGAGTCGATAAAAAAATGCTAATCTTTTCATAAACACTTTTTCAATTTCTGTACAAGACTTTAATTGTTACCTACCCGAAATCCAAATCGAAATTGTTGTCCTACAGCACCATACTTCACTTAAATGCAAATGTGATAAACTTATTTCAATTAAAGTTATCCGAATTATACTGAATTTCGGAAATTTGCACCAAAAAGCAATCTTTCCAAATTTACACGATTTGGTTGTAAGATATTGTTATAAGTTTGTATCAACATATGTTTGTGAACTAATGAACATAATAAAATCAAAATATGGCTCAAAATTAATTGATATGCACCTAAAACAATCTAATATTTTGTAAGCATCTTCCAGAATTAATCCTAATATAGATGACTTGGTAAGAAAGCTAAAAATTCAAAAGGCACATTAAAGGGTAATTTAGTAATTATTTAGAATTAAATGTTTTAAGTTACTCATTTCTATTCCTAACCTAACTGATAGAACTTGTAAAAAGTTTATTAACAATTAAACCTAAGTATGGACTTTTGTCTCATTTATTATATTACACTCATGTCCATAAATTAAGAATGATTGAGAAGCACACGGAAATGAAACTCTAAAAATTTTACTGGTAGAATTATCACACTTATCTTGAAGAACAATGTGGAATTTGTAGGAATCCACCAGATGATGTCGATTAAACGTCACAATGACGAGAGTGTAAGAGAAGGTTATTTAAGAATGATGGCAAAGAGGTAAAGTTGCTCATAAGCATTTTATAAGCCTCTAAATGTTATAAACGAATAATTATGACACAGAGGTTGCATTTGTATGATTTTTTACTTCGTAAAATTATCGGCCGCATGATATGTTGATGTACTCAGGTGGTAGTATCTGAAGAACTTGGAGTTGCCCAAATTGTCATCTCTAGGTTTCGACAGCAGTTCTAAGGTGACGGAGATGTCAGTAGAGGTTAAAATACAGGCCAATCCGAGGTACAATGCCAAAGGAAGACTGCTATCTGTCAGTAGCTGCAAAAATAAGCCGATTGAGCACAACATCCGACCTGTCTCATCAGCTATCTGCAACCAAGTAACGACAGTTTCAAGACACACAGTGTACACACGTTTATAACATATTGGTGTATATGCTTTCATACCTGTCAGATATGTTCAATTCATAGTAACTCACTGTCGCCAGCAGTAGGCCTGGAGAGAGAACATGCAATGCATTCGTTGACATAAGGGGCTTATGTGATGTATTCGAACAAGTCCAGCTTTAGTTTGCAGTCTTATTCACTTTTGCAGTCTTATTGGACTTTCATATGAAGAATACCATGTATCCGTTACTAGCAAGACATCAATGAACGGCATCGTTACAGTGGTGCAGAATTGCTCGTTTGTGGGGAGTTATCCTGTTCTCCAAAACAGATTTAGGAGTTCAAATCGGAACCACGGCAGACAAAATTTATTGATACCTCAATTTTAAACAACATGAGCGTTTGCTTAAGGGTGCCATGAGTGCAGAATTTGTAATTATGGTCATCAACGCCCATCCTAACCGAGTAAACATCGTAAACGAATGCTTTCAATCTGAGGATATCATCTGTATGGAAAGGAAAGCATTATCATCGAACTTGAATCTGATAGAGCATGTGTAGGACATGCTTGGCAGTCAAGTTTCAGCCCGTCAATAACTTCTTATATATGTACCGGAACTTTGGAGAGTATTGATTGCTGAGTGGAGTTATCTTCTCCAAAATCAACTCGACACAGCATGTCTAGGTGTTGTATAGACATTATTTCACTGTACGGACGACATATAACATATAACCATCTTGCCAACCATGTAATATAAAGCTTTTGTAATGAATGTATTTTTCTTATAATTGCTCCTGGGAGCAAAAATCGTAATTTTTATGAATTGTAACATAAATGCAACATGTTTTTTATATTTTTTCTTTTGATAAATAAATGGGCTTTACAAAACAAGTAACGTTTGTTTTGTTTTTAAACCTTTATTTGCAGGTGCTAACACTATCCTTAATTTATGGACATGAGTGTATTTTTAAATTTCCATTACTTAGACTTGAATGAAAAAAATTTTCTATTTACAAAATAATCCCATAATAAGAATATAAGTAACATTTCCCCCCTTTTCTATATCTTTTTGTTGGAAAAGTTTGAAGAGACACTCATATATTTTTTTTATCAGATATTAACACTACACCTAAAAGGTTGGCCACCCCTGGCTTAGATTTATGAGACCCGAATCAATTAATCCTTACTTCCAAATGTGTTACAATGAGCCAGGATACAATTGCATCAATATGGGCTCATTTAAATAGAATTCTGAAAAATTTCGAGTCAAATTTAGTGAAAAAGTTGGAAAGCTTAATCTATGCCCCTACGGGACACCCCAAGGGAAATTAATCCTTGTGCAAGTATACATTAAAAATATACTCAAGATATACATCATGAATGATAATTTCGATAAAAAATATCTATGGACGTATACATATACTCTTTAAAAGATTAACACTAATTACAGACACAAATATAAATGCGTTGTTCCAAGGGGACTTCTTGTTTCACTCTCTCAGTATTTCATATTGAAGTATCTATGCATTAAAACAGGTGTAAATTGAATCGAATCAAGCATTAGATCTCTAAATAAGGTTATCATTCCACGTCTTGAGTCTGGTTCAACATTTATGTAATTAAATTTACTTTTGAGTTACGACAGCTAGTGACATCTTGTGCAGTCGTTGTTAGTTACGCTTTTTGTTTCTTTTTTGTAGGACAATGTCAGCACTCCAAAGGGAAACTGGAAGTTGGTTTCCCTGTTTCGCCGCTGTTCGGCCGGTCGTTTTGGTTACCTTACTGCGGGGGTGATGGGCAGGTGATTTTATGAAGGAGCAGGCAGATGAATGAGAATCCCTGCAGGTTTTGAAGCAGGAACTAAGCATTTAGAGTTTTGATACTCTCAGAAAAAAGCTATGAAATAATGACATCTGCAGTAAGTACATGCCAGAATTCAGCGGGATGTGCATGACCATGGACCCTGTTTAAAACAGTTATAGATTCA